GTTCAATGGCAAATGCCAATCCAGCTCTATGGTGCCGGGCTGTGAGCACAGGGGCCACTAGAGGACATCGGGCCCTCAGGACACCCTCATGAAGTCTGTTTCTGATTGTTTGGTCAGAGACATTCCCACCAGTGGCCTGCTGGAGGTCATTTTGTAGGGCTCTGGCAGGGCTCATCCTGTTCCTCCTTGTACAAAGGAGCAGATACCGGTCCTGTTGATGGGGTTAAGGACCTTCTACGGTCCTGTCCAGCCCTCCTAGAGGAACTGCCTGTCTCCTGGAATCTCCTCCATGCTCTTGTCTCCTGGAATCTCCTCCATGCTCTCGTCTCCTGGAATCTCCTCCATGCTCGTCTCCTGGAATCTCCTCCGCGCTCTCGTCTCCTGGAATCTCCTCCATGCTCTCGTCTCCTGGAATCTCCTCCATGCTCTCGTCTCCTGGAACCTCCTCCATGCTCTCGTCTCCTGGAACCTCCTCCATGATCTTGTCTCCTGGAATCTCCTCCATGCTCTTGAGACTGTGCTGGAAGACACAGCAAACCTTCTGGCAATGGCAGGTATTGATGTGCCATCCTGGAGGAGTCGGACTGCCTGTACAACCTCTGTAGGGTCCAGGTATGGCCTCATGCTACCAGTAGTGACACTGACCCGAGCCAAATGCAAAACGAGTGAAAAACAGTCAGAAAAGGTGAGTAGGGAAAAAATGTCAGTGGCCCCCACCTGTAAAACCATTCCTGTTTTGGGGGTCATCTCAGTGTTGCCCATCTAGTGTCCCTGTTGTTAATTTCATGAACACCAAAGCAGCTGAAACTGATGAACAATTCGCTCTGCGACTTCCCTGACCAGATCCATATCCCGGAGGTGTCATGGACCTGATGCTAGACTCGGATTACAAGGGCTTCCTTTCATTTTTTTGAGCCGTGTATACAGAAGACGACATTTTGCTGTAAACGCTCAGGGGTGGGGTCGATCTATTCCCAATCGTCCCACGACGAGGGTCCGCATCAGAGAGGAGACAATAATATGATTACATTTGTAGCAATCTGTGTATTATTCTAGGTTGGGATTCCCAGGGGTGGGGCTCAGGCGTAGCTGGGGGCCGGTACGCAACGCAGCAGCAGGAGAGGTCTCTGAGCTCGGCTAATGTTTGTGTCTGAAACCCCCAGAGAGGCAGCAAATCATACCTTACATATCGCATTTCCCAGGAGAGCGCCCCCTGTTGCTAGGTGATCGCTGGATTCTAGGTGCATGCTCTGGCTCACAGCTGCTTCCACCTGCCCGAAAGCAGCCATTCTCTCCCCCTCCGGCTCCGCGCCGTAGCATCTGTCCGCCGGCTGCCCGAAAAACTGGCAGGGTACCGGCTGCATCTGGGGGTCCTCGGAGCGTGGAAGGCGGGGCGACGATAACTCCGGCTCCGGGGAATTGGAGAAACTCTCTGAGGCCGAGCGCTGTAAATGCGGGGAAAAAAAATGCAGCTTGTTATTCTGTCAATAGTTGTCAGTGTTGTCGTTCACACCAGCGCTCGCAGCTCCGGTGCGTTCCGGATGCAGAAAAAAAGAGGCTGCATTGTTTTGGGACAGAACTGTACTGGGACGCGGTAAAACGCATCAAAAACGCATCAGAATCACACTGGAACGCATCACCGGTAAAACACACTGGAACGCATCAGAAACACACTGGAACGCATCAGAAACACACTGGAACGCATCAGATTCACACTGGAACGCATCAGAATCACACTGGAATGCATCACCGGTAAAACACACTGGAACGCATCAGAATCACACTGGAACGCATCAGTATCACACTGGAACGCATCACCGGTAAAACACACTGGAACGCATCAGATTCACACTGGAATGCATCAGAATCACACTGGAACGCATCAGAATCACACTGGAATGCATCACCGGTAAAACACACTGGAACGCATCAGATTCACACTGGAACGCATCAGAATCACACTGGAACGCATCACCGGTAAAACACACTGGAACGCATCAGGAAACACACTGGAACGCATCAGTAACACACTGGAACGCATCAGAATCACACTGGAACGCATCACCGGTAAAACACACTGGAACGCATCAGAATCACACTGGAACGCATCAGAATCACACTGGAACGCATCAGAAACACACTGGAACGCATCAGTAGCACACTGGAACGCATCACCGGTAAAACACACTGGAACGCATCAGAATCACACTGGAACGCATCAGAATCACACTGGAATGCATTAGCAAACACTGGAACGCATCACCGGTAAAACACACTGGAACGCATCAGAATCACACTGGAACGCATCAGAATCACACTGGAACGCATCAGAAACACACTGGAACGCATCAGAATCACACTGGAACGCATAAGCAAACACTGGAACGCATCAGAAACACACTGGAACGCATCACAATCACACTGGAACGCATCAGAATTACACTGGAACGCATCAGAATCACACTGGAATGCATCAGAAAAAACACTGGAACGCATCAGATTCACACTGGAACGCATAAGCAAACACTGGAACGCATCAGACCACACTGGAACGTATCAGAAACACACTGGAACGCATCAGATTCACACTGGAACGCATAAGCAAACACTGGAACGCATCAGATTCACACTGGAACGCATAAGCAAACACTGGAACGCATCAGACCACACTGGAACACATCAGCATCACACTGGAACGCATCAGCATCACACTGGAACGTATCAGAAACACACTGGAACGCATTATTTAAGCTGAAGAAAAAGTGAGGGGGCAAAATTAACTGGAATGCGCCAAAAATGCATCAAAAACGCAAATGCTTTTTGAAATTTGAATTTCCAAAAGAACAGTATGGAATAAAACAGAAGTGAAAATAAAAGACTAGAATAGAAAAGTATAGAAAGGAAGCTAAATAATGAAACGTAATTTGATTCGAATCGAACTTACAAACAAAATCGAATTTTAAAAAAATAATAGAATAAAATAGAAGAGAACATAAAGGAATGGAGTAGAAAAGAATAGAATAGGAAAGAATAGAATGGAGTAAAACAGAACAGAATAGAAAATAAAAGCATAGAATAAAACAGAATAGAATAAAAATAATAGAATAAAATAGAAGAGAACATAAAGGAATGGAGTAGAAAAGAATAGAATAGGAAAGAATAGAATGGAGTAAAACAGAACAGAATAGAAAATAAAAGCATAGAATAAAACAGAATAGAATAAAAATAATAGAATAAGAGACTAGAATCAGAACAGAATAAAATAGAATATAGCCGCCTTCTGAAATTCGAATTTCAAAAAGAACAGTATGGAATAAAACTGAATAGAAAATAAAAGACTAGAATAGAATAGAAAAGTTTAGAAAGGAAACAAAATAATGAACCGTAATTTGATCCGAATCAAACTTAAAAACAAAATCGAATTCAAAAACAATAATTGAATAAAATAGAATAGAACATAAATAAATAGAATAGGAAAGAATAGAATGGAGTAAAACAGAACAGAATAGAAAATAAAAGCATAGAATAAAACAGAATACAATAAAAATAATAGAATAGAATAAAATAGAAAATAATAGAATATAAGAGAATAGAATAGAATCAGAACAGAATACAATAGAATATAGCCGCCTTCCGAAATTCAAAATGTCCAAAAGAACAGTATGGAATAAAACAGAATAGAGAATAATAGACTAGAATAGAATAGAAAAGTATAGAAAGGAAGCTAAATAATGAAACATAATTTGATTCGAATCGACCTTACAAGCAAAATCCAATTTAAATACATTAATAGAATAAATAGAAGAGAACATAAAGGAATGGAGTAGAAAAGAATAGAATAGGAAAGAATAGAAGAGAGTAAAACAGAACAGAATAGAAAATAAAAGCATAGAATAAAACAGAATAGAATAAAAATAATAGAATAGAAAAGAATATAAAAGAATAGAGGGGGGGTTCCTGTCAGGGGGCCCGGGGCAGTTGCCCCTTTTGCCCCCTTCTAAATCCAGCACTGGGTGGAGGTGAGCCAATCACAGGAGCCGGGGGACGAGGACCGCGGGAAGTCATTTCTTGGGCCGTATTCCGCGCAGGGAACACGCTGCTCCGGCACGAAGGGAAGGTGAGGATTCGATGGTGATTTCCGGTCGCATCCAAGGAGCCTGTTTTCTGCTTTACATCATCGATAAATATTCGTTGCGCCCGTTTTGCGCTCTTTTGTCCGCCCCGCCCGCCGCTCAGCCGCCATGAAGTGACTAACAGCAAACGCAGGTGGGGCGGCGGTTTCGGTTACCTACCTTCCTGGCGGGACTGGCGTGAAGCTGGTTGCGCCGGCACGCGTCGTTCTCCACGGCGGCGATGATCTCATCGGCGATGGATTGGGTTTGGGGGTTGCCGGGAGAATGGCTGTTGACGGGGGACAGATCGACCGTGTGACCTCCAGGAGAGATGGGGTCGTCACAGACCTGCAAACACAGCAAGAGGGTCAGCGTGGGGGGCGGGTTCAGAGAGGTGCACAGAAAACATGGTGGTAAACCCTCCCAGTGAGGCGACACGCAGCCTCTGCATAAGTTGTACCTGTTTATCTGCAGCATTCTCTCTTGTACAGACGTTCAAAGTACAAATTTATACAGCTTGTCTGAGCTTTCAGAAAACATGGGGCGGAGAGCTGAACCTACACTCTGCACAGCTCAGTGAGAGCTGATTGGAGGGGAGGTACACGCCACGCCCAGTGACCGGACAACATTATCGAGAGCCCAGAGCGATACTGCAAACTGCACCCTCCCCCCGCTAGATGTATGAGAATTAAATGTCAGCAGGAATACCCCCCCCCCCAAAAAAAAATCCTCCCTCCTCCCAGTACAAATATGCCCCCTGCTTTATACAGCTTGTCTAAGCTTTCAGAAAACGGGGTGGGGAGCTGAACCTACACTCTGCAGAGCTCTGTGAGAGCTGATTGGAGGGGAGGGACACACCAGTGCCCGGACAACATCATCGAGAGCCAGGGGCGGACTGACAACTCATGGGGCCCCTGGGCAATAGGGGATCACAGGGCCCCTGTGTCCTCACCCACACTCAAACCACACCCAAAAAAGCCTCTGAAAGGTACCAGGGGCATCTCATGGGGCCCCCTACTAACCCCGGCCCTCGGGCAGTGCCCGAGTGCGCTAATGGTCAGTCCGCCCCTGTCGAGGGCCAGAGCGAACATGCCAAACTGCAACCTCCCCCCCCCCCACAAGATATAAGAGCATTAAATGTCAGCAAAAATCCCCCCCCCCCCCCCCCAAAAAAAAATCCCCCCTCCTCCCAGTACAAATCCCCCCTACCAGCACGAATATTTCCCCCCTCACTCAAATCCTCTAGCCCTCAGATTTCCCCTCCAAACACAATTTCTCTCCCCCCCCCAGCACAAATTCCCTCCCCAATCCCCCATCTGAGCACAACTCCCCCCTCAAATTTCCCCTCCTAACACAAATCCCACCCAGTCATCCCTCCCCTTCCCCCTCTACCATATCACCTTTTCCAGCAAACCCCCCCCCAATCCCCCCTCCTAGCACAAATCCCCTTCCCCCTCTACCATATCACCTTTTCCAGCAAAATCCCCCCCAAATCCCCCCTCCCAACACATTCCCCCCCCCCCCAGATCACCACTCCTAGCACCCCTCCCCCTCAAATTTATTCTCCTAAAACAAAACCCCTCACCCGCAATCTACTCGTGGTGTCCCCCACCTCACATGATACCACAGTGCCCAGGACAGCCCCCCCGTCCGCCCCTTGTCCCAGCCCTGACCACACCCCCCCCCCCCCCACACAGCATGCAGGAACAGAGATGAGGCTGTCAGTCACAGGCTGTGTGCTGGAGCTCCCTCCCCTGACACCTTGGCCTGGCAGCCGACAGAAATGACGCTCAGTGCTCTGGACTGAAACAAGCACACGCTATAGAGGGATGTGTTTTGTTCACTTTTCATGCCTGAGGTCTACAACCACCTGAGCCACTTTGCCTACCAGGGCAGGTTTTTGCACAGGTTATAATTTACATTTTTTGGGGGCTAGAAATTATTTTTACCCCCCCCCCAAAAAAAATCCTTGTTTTAAATCTTTATATTACATTTTAGTGACAGAGCTCATTTTTGCACAGCGAATGAAAGGGTTCAAAAAAGGGGTCCCAGCAGAACAAAGATCCTGACCAAACGTTAAAAATAAAAATTCGGCTTTAAAAGAGAGACAAAGTAACTGCACCGAGTCACTGAGAGCGCCCTCCAGTGGCCAATCAAATGAGCCTCTGCTCTGTAGTGCTGTGCAGTTACAGCACTTTACAGTTCCTCTTAGCCGCTGGTGCCCAGTCTGCACCCGAGGGCCACATGCGGCCCGTTATTACCTATCACGCAGCCCTCCGACCCCAGCAGTCATCGATTTGTAAAGGAGAAAGATTAGTGATCTCCAGGGGCGGACTGACAACTCATGGGGCCCCCGGGCAATAGGGGATCGTGGGGCCCCTGTGTCCTTGCCCACACTCAAAAAAGCCTATAAAAAAGGTACCAGGGGCATCTCATGGGGCCCCCTACTGACCCCGGGCCCTCGGGCAGTGCCCGAGTGCTCGAATGGTCAGTCCGCCCCTGGTGATCTCTACTAGACTCATGTAACACGTCCCCAGTCTTGGACCAGTGTCTGACCTGCCTGTCCATAGTCTCAGACCATCATTTTCTCCACCATGTCTCCAGTCTCAGCCGTCCTCCTTAGCATCACCTATCTTGAAAATTATGTTCGATCCTTTGGTGATGTTCGAGTCACAGGTGAGGCCCCCTGTACCTCATTGACGGCCACTGCTCTACGGCCATTGAATTGCCCAAACCAATTAAGAAGAACAGATTCTCGGTACAGCTAGAAGATCTCATCTCAGTTGGTGAACCTATTCCCAGGCCTGCAGAATCTACATATATATACACACACAATATGGCCAAAAGTATGTGAACCCCAAATGATGGAGTTCAGAGGTCTCCAGATACAGTTACACCACCATACAAGCACATTGTAGACAATCATGCTCTTCCAATCTTGTGGTAACAGTTTGGTGAAGGCCCTTTTCTGCCTCGGCATGACTGTGCCCCGTGTACAAAGCCACCGCCATAAAGACATGGATGACCAGTTTGGTGTGAAGGAACTCAAGTGTCCTGCACAGACCCCTGACCTACTCCCTACTGAACACCTTTGGGATGATTTGAACGTTTTGATTCCCTTGCCCACTCATCCAAAAGAAATTTTGAGAGGTCAGGTACTGATGTTGGATGAGAAGACCTGGCTCACCATAGGCGAATGGCTCCCTCAGAATGCTGCTGAATTCCCTTGATAACCAAAGAGCAGCGAGAGAGCGATTCCAAAGGAACAGCCAAAAGTCTGTGGACACCTGACCATCACACCTCTATTAACTTGGTGGACATCTTATTCCAAAACCATGGTCAATAACACGGAGTTGTCTCTTCCCCCCCATGGCCGTTAATATGGAATTGCCACTCCTCCCTCCATGGGCAATGGTGTTGCCACTTCTCCCCCTATGGCCAATAATATACAGTTGTCACCCTTTGCAGCTATAACAACATCCACTCTCCTAGATATTTGAAGGTTTTTAGGGGAATTTGTGCTCATTTGTGAGGTCAGCTATTGTTGGATCAGAAAAGCTGGTTCATATCTTAGACCTCACGTTGGGCACCAAAAAAAATAAAAAGACCTGGCTTGCCATCTGTGTTCCAATCCATCCCAAAGGTGTTCAGTAGGGTTGGGGTCAGGGCTCTGTTCAGGACACTTGAGTTCCTTCACGCCAACCTGGTCATCCATGTCTTTATGGAGCTGGCATTGTACACAGGGGCACAGTCATGCTGGAACAGAAAAGGGTCTTCACCAAACTTTTACCACAAGGTTGGAAGAGCACGATTGTCTAATATGTCTTTGTATGGTGTATAATTAGCCTGAAAGTCCAGAATGGAAGTTGGATGGGGGGACCTGGCTCACCATTGGCATTCCAAACCATTCCAAAAGGTGTTCAGTAGGGTTGAAGTCAGGTATTGATGTTGGAAGAGAAGACCTGTGTCATAAATGGTGTTCCAATTCATCCCAAAGGTGTTCAGCAGAGTTGAGGTCAGGGCTTTGTGCAGGACACTCGAGTTGTTCCACACCAAACTGGTCATGCATGTCTTCATGGAGCTGGCTTTGTACACAGGGGACAGTCATGGGGGAACAGAAAAGGGTCTTCACCAAACTGTTACCGCAAGGTTGAAGAAGCACAATTATCTACAACGTGCTTGTATGATGGAGTAACAGTATCCCAGACTGGAGACATCTGAACTCCATCATTTGGGGTTGGGGCTGGAGAAGCACAATTGTCTACAATGTCTTTGTATGATCATACCTTCCACTGGACACACCTGAACTATGGAGGCCCCTCCAAATGATGGAGTTCAGGTGTTTCCATTGAAGGGTACTATTAATACTACATTAAAAAAAGACTTTGTAGACAATTGTGCTCTTCCACCTTTGTGGTAACAGTTTGGTGAGGACCCTTGTCTGTTATAGCATGACTGTCCCCCTGTGTCCATAAAGACACAGTTTGACCAGTTTGCTGCATATTAACTTGAGTGTCCTACACAGAGCCCTGACCTGAACCCTAATGAACACCTTTTGGATGGATTGGAACACAGATGGCAAGCAAGGGTTTTTTTTTTTTTTTTTGGTGCCCAACGTGAGGTCCAAGATATGAACCAGCTCTTCTGATCCAACAATAGCTGACCTCACAAATGAGCATAAATTCCCCCAGACACCTTCAAAAATCTTGTGGAAAGTCTTCTAGGAGAGTGGAGGTTGTTATAGCTGCAAAGGGTGACAACTGTATATTATTGGCCATAGGGGCAGAAGTGGCAACACCATTGCCCATGGAGGGAGAAGTGGTAATTCCATATTAACGGCCATGGGGGTGGGGGGACTCCATGTTATTGACCATGGTTTTGGAACAAGATGCCCAACAAGTTAATAGAGGTGTGATGGTCAGGTGTCCACAGACGTTTGGCTGTTCCTTTGGAATCGCTCTCTCGCTGCTCTTTGGTTATCGAGGGAATTCAGCAGCATTCTGAGGGAGCAATTCGCAAGAGGTAAGTGAACGACTCTCCTACGTGAATCTGCTGCAGAACTGCCCCTGTGACATTGGGTTGAAAAAGACAAAAATAAAATCTACAATAAATGCAAAAATAGAGCTTTAGAAGAAAAAAATGCACTGACCGGCGCCACATCCTCCTGGCTCTGCAGAGGCACCGGAGCCGGCTGCCGCACGATGTAATTGATTTGGCCCACAATGGTTTGCTGGACATGCTGCGGCTGTTTGCTCTGGTTGATCTGTACGTTGGATGGCTGGCTCTGCAGGAGAAGCTCCAGACCTTTCTGCATCTGCTCCAGCTCAAACTGCTGGTTGATGATGTCCAGGCTGTTGTGCATGACTTGCTCGTGGGTAGCATCAGATGAGCCCAGAGCTGCCTGGGCCTGACCCTGGTTCCGCTGCTGCTGCACATGACTGACGGTGTGCACAGGGCCGAGCTGCATTTGCACGGACGGGGCCTGCAGGGTGGCAGACGTGGTCAGCGGGATGGTCGTGTGTACTTGGCTAAAATCCTGAGTTGTCACGGCACAGATAGGGGCCACGCTCTGTACGGTGGGCTGGACGGTGGCAGCTCTCTGCTGCTGATTCTCTGACCAGTAGGATGCGCTGTCCTGTTCACTGTGTGGCTGCTGGGACAACCACGGCTGGATGACCCTCAGGGGGCGGGAGAGACACTTCTGCTCCTTGGCCGCGCTATACTGTAGGGGCTGCACCGCCTGCTGCTTGATGGTGGTGGAGTGGGTGAAGTTGACGTGGTGGCTGATGGTGCTGTTGACCGGTTGACTCTTGGTGATGGACGGCAGGGTGTGGCAGTGGGCACAGCAGACTGGGGTGGGGCACTGGACGGTGGGGGTGAAGTTCTGGGTGCTACTAATGGGGGTCAGATGCGGGGTGCTGGGTTGGTGATGACCCTGATAGTACGATGACTGCAGGTCTTCCACTGGTGCATAGCTGGGGACGTCCGAGGGCGCTAAGTGCGCAGGATCAGTCAGTATACAACCTGGAGAAGAAAATGTGAGAAATGCATGAGATCGTCTACAAGGGTAACCGAATTTTACATATAATATGTCAATGGGAAGTCCAACGTAACGTAGAACTCCACCCAAAATGATATTTCTTCATTGACCTTTGCTGACCAACTGACCCTGGACATGTCCGGACACTTTCCCCCCCTTCCAGTCCCGGACACTTTCACCCCCCTTCCAGTCCGGACACTTTCACCCCCCTTCCAGTCCGGACACTTTCACCCCCTTCCAGTCCGGACACTTTCACCCCCCTTCCAGTCCGGACACTTTCCCCCCTTCCAGTCCGGACACTTTCACCCCCTTCCAGTCCGGACACTTTCACCCCCCTTCCAGTCCGGACACTTTCACCCCCTTCCAGTCCGGACACTTTCACCCCCTTCCAGTCCGGACACTTTCACCCCCCTTCCAGTCCGGACACTTTCACCCCCTTCCAGTCCGGACACTTTCACCCCCTTCCAGTCCGGACGCTTCCCCCCCTTCCAGTCCAGACACTTTCCCCCCCTTCCAGTCCAGACACTTTCCCCCCCTTCCAGTCCAGACACTTTCCCCCCCTTCCAGTCCGGACACTTTCCCCCCCTTCCAGTCCAGACGCTTTCACCCCCTTCCAGTCCGGACACTTTCACCCCCTTCCAGTCCGGACGCTTTCACCCCCTTCCAGTCCGGACACTTTCCCCCCCTTCCAGTCCGGACACTTTCCCCCCCTTCCAGTCCGGACACTTTCCCCCCCTTCCAGTCCGGACACTTCCCCCCCCCTTCCAGTCCGGACACTTTCACCCCCTTCCAGTCCGGACACTTTCACCCCCCTTCCAGTCCGGACACTTTCCCCCCCTTCCAGTCCAGACGCTTTCACCCCCTTCCAGTCCAGACGCTTTCACCCCCTTCCAGTCCGGACACTTTCCCCCCTTCCAGTCCGGACACTTTCCCCCCCCTTCCAGTCCAGATAGTTTCCCCCCCTTCCAGTCCGAACACTTTCACCTTTTCGCCGTTCATAAATGACGGCCGCCATTTTGGACTCTGCGCTCTCCCTAGGAGAGCGCAGCACCATGATCTGGTGCCCACTGTGTCATCCGGACACAGTGGAACACCGATTGCTGTAAGGGACTTCTGTGTGAGGTCCCAATCATGTGATCACCAACTGGCTAATCAGTGATCACATGCAGAGTAGTAAACAAGATGTCACTTCTGACATCATTGCTTACTACGTGTGAAATCTGTGAATGATCACAGAGATCACATGGTACAGGGCCATTCACAACAGCCTTGTACCATGTGACAAGCTATGACCAATCACAGCTCTCACAGTATTTCTCAATGGCTGCAAGAATGCAGCCAGAGAGAAGGAGAATGATTGCTTTTACAGTCTTTATGGGTGTAAAAGCAATCAGTGTAAAAAAAAAAATCTTCATCGCCCCCCACAAGTAGTACAGTGTCACCATGGTGATCAGGGAGGTTGTCCTCCTGGTTAAGTCCTGAATGG